TCTGAGAGGCCGAGTTACAGACAGAGAGAGGGAGAGACAGAGAAAGGTTTTCCATTCGCTGGTTCCCTCCCAAAATGACCACAATGGCCGGAGCTGGGCCGATCCGAAGCCAGGAGCCAGGAGCTTCTTCCGGGTCTCCAATGTGGGTGCAGGAGCCCAAGCACTTGGGCCATCCTCCACTGCCTTCCCGGGCCACAGCAGAGAGCTGGACTGGAAGAGGAGCAGCCGGGACACAGACCAGCACCCATACGGGATGTCAGTGCTGCATGCAGAGGCTTAACCTATTACACCACATGCCAGCCCCTTGCAGAAAATTTTACATACATAGTTATCATAATTATAACTATGTATTGAACATATAGTATTGTCATTTACCATGAATGTATTATCCCATCCTTTTTATACTTTGCAGAATCCAGTTTTCCTTTTTAGTATTTGTGGCTCTTTTTTGTTCCTGATATAACTTGAAAAAACAAAGGTGGCTCTTTCAGCTGAAATAATCTTAAGTCTCATTTGACATGCTGTCATAACCTGGAAGAAAGACCTTTTCTTGATACAAGCTGGTCATTTCCTCAAAAGGAACAAACTCAAGCATTAACTTCTTTTTTTTTTTTTTTTGGGTCAAGCATTAACTTATATGTTTCTAATGTCCACTGTTTAATTTACCATTAGGATCAATATACATATTTATACAGGTAGGTTTTTTTCTCCCTTTTCTAAATTGATGATGAGCTTAGTATGGAGGAAATATGGGTTATTTTTCATCTTGTCCAGGGCTACCTCACTCCCACAAACCACACTGTTAACAAAATGGTAGGGAATGTTCCAGCTGTTGTCTTGTGAACCACATCTCTTGATTTGCCTTCACATTGAGTTAGTTTTACCTGAAATTTTCCTACCAGGGGTCTTTTTCCTATCAGAGGAATGACTGAAAGATTATGAGCAATTTTAATTCACTGGTGCAACAGAAAAATACACACACACACACACACAACAGAAAAGTTCTATGTACTAAGAGATGAAAGCAGCCCAGATACCTATTTATGGATGAATGCATAAACAAAATGTGAAATATATGTATGGTAAGATTTTATTCAGCCTTTAAACAGCCAAGTCTTGTCACATGCTACAGCAGGGATGAACCTTGAGGACACTGTCCATGCTAAATGAAATACACCAGTCATAGAAAAAGAAATGCTGTATGATTCTGCTTATCTGAGGTATCAAATTCACAGACAGAAAACAGAATGATAGTTACCAGAGGCTGGAGGAATAGGGTGGGAAGAGAATTGTTCTTTTATGGTTACAGAGTCTAAATTATGCAAGATGAAAAAATTCTGGGGGCTGGTGCTGTGTGCATTGGGTTAGGGCACTGGCCTGCCTGCAGCACCAGCATCCCATGTGGGCGCTGGTTCGATTCCCAGCTGCTCCACTTCTGATCCAGCTCTCTGCTGTGAACTGGGAGGGCAGTGGAGGATGGCCCCGGGCCCTTGGCCCCTGTACCCGCATGGAGGTCTGGGAGGAGGCTTCTGGCTCCTGACTTCAGATTGGCTCAGCTCTGGCCGTTGCGAATCATTTGGGGAGTGGGCCGGCGGAAGGAAGACTTTCTCTCTCTCTCTCTCTCTCTCTCTCTCTCTCTCTCTCTGGCTTTACCTGTCTCTGTAACTCTTACAAATAAATAAAAATAAATCTAGCCGGCGCCGCGGCTCAATAGGCTAATCCTCCGCCTAGCGGCGCCGGCACACCAGGTTCTAGTCCCGGTCGGGGCGCCGGATTCTGTCCCGGTTGCGCCTATTCCAGGCCAGCCCTCTGCTGTGGCCAGGGAGTGCAGTGGAGGATGGCCCAGGTGCTTGGGTCCTGCACCCCATGGGAGACCAGGAAAAGCACCTGGCTCCTGACTCCTGCCATCGGATCAGCGCGGTGTGCCGGCCGCAGCGCGCCGGCCGCGGCGGCCATTGGAGGGTGAACCAACGGCAAAGGAAGACCTTTCTCTCTGTCTCTCTCTCTCACTGTCCACTCTGCCTGTCAAAAAATAAATAAATAAATAAATAAATAAATAAATAAATAAAATAAATAAAAATAAATCTAAAAGAAAAGAAAAAATTCTGCAGATTGTTTCACAGCAATGTGAATATATTTAACAAATAATTTAACCCACTACACCACAATGCCAGCCCCAGAAATAACAAATAAATTATATATTTATTTGCCTTCAAGAAAAAAGAACTAATACTAACCATTGTGTGGTGAGTAGAGGTGGAAATGAAATAGGAAAGGTACAATTTTTTTTAAAGATTTATTTATTTATTTGAAAGTCAGCGTTATACACAAAGAGAAGGAGAGGCAGAGAGAAAGATCTTCCATCTGCTGGTTCACTCCCCAATTGGCCACAAAGGTTGGAGCTGTGCTGATCCAAAGTCAGGAACCAGGAGCTTCTTCCAGGTCTCTCAAGTGGGTGCAAGGATCCAAGGACTTGACCATCTTCTACTGCTTTCCCATGTTACAGCAGAGAGCTGGATCGGAAATGGAGCAGCCGGGACTCGAACCAGCACCCGTGTGCTTTACCCGCTATGCCACAGTACTGGCAAGGCACAATTATTGAAGCAGGGTGATGGCACTTGGAGATGCTATTGTGTTAACTTGATGTATGTGCACAAATTGAACCAGCAGTATTTTGCCCTACCATATTAAAAAGTCAAATGGTAATATTTAGAATTGGTAAATCAAGAAATAGCATTGTGAGCATATTATTTACAAATGTGGAGGCAAAAAGGAGCAGAAAACAGGAAAAGACTTCTGCTTCTGAAAATCAGAATTGAGTATGAGGGTGATAGGAATAGGGTAGTCTCTGTTTTGTTCTATAAGGCTTTTGGTATTTTTTTGAGATCTTATGCATTTATTCCTTTGATAAAATAATGTATTCACTCTGGATTACTGCATTGTTTTCAAGGAAAATACCCATATGATCCCCTGTGAATAATCAGGCTTAGACCAATGCTTTGAATGTATAAAAATTCAGTATACTCTTGATAACTTTGGCAATATGCCCAATTATGTCCATTGCCAAAGGCAGCTGATTTAAATTTGAATTCGTACTTCAGATAAGAAGAAGTTTGATTGCATATAGTTTCTCTTCTGTTCTCTTGCCCCCTGCAGTTTGGTCCTTACACAGGAGCCAGCAGTCACCTTAAATAGGCATACCTCATGAATGTCTTTTTTGCAACTAGAATAAGATACAAAGCCTTTATCATGGCCTAAAAACAGGGCCCTACATTATCTTAAATGATTGGACTCCTGTCTGCTTCTCCTGTTAATCTCCCTGATCATCGTATGTGACCTTGGTGGCTCTGTTTTGGCACACTCCTAGCCTTTGTGCAGACCGTGTCTCCTAAGAATGGCTCCTTCCCATTCTGCATTTGAGTCTAGTTCCTGAAAAAGACCTTCCCTCAGCATCTAGCTAGGGTAGCTTTTTCTGCCGCTTCTCTGTCTAGAGCGGTGGGGCCAACAGTATGGTCCTCAGGCCAGAGCATCAGCATCACCTAGAGCAGTTTGCTTTTTCTTTCGTTTGTGTGTGTGTGTTTGAAATGCCATCTTGGGCCCCATCACAGACCCGCTGAAGGAGAACCTGCCTTTTAACAAGACCCTCAGGTGACTGCACTGCGGAGCGCTATTCCTCCTCTGGTTTTCCTGTCTCTGTGAATAGGCTTGCTCATTTTTGTTTTTCAACCTGTATATTACTTCTCTTCCCTAAATTAAAGCTGCCTGGCTTGTTCACTCCTGGATCCCCAGCAACCTAGCAGTGTCTGCACCTAGTACATGCTCAATAAGTATTTTGTGAGTGAAAGAATAAATGAATATAATGAAGGTTTTGTGTTTGAAATGTGTAGCTCTGAACGATAAATGTCTTTCCAGCCCTCTCTTGCTTGTAAAATTGGGGTTATTCTCTCTCAATGCCATCATTATGAAAAGGTTTCCGTCTTGGGCACTGAGTACAATTAAACTAGTGTGGCTAATAAAAATCATTTTTAATTGTTTTCAGGCAGTTTGTCTTCAGAACTAAAGTTTAGGTTTATTAGAGTGCTTTTCTGTTGACTTAACACCATTGTTTCCTTTTAAAAAAGCACTCTCATTCAGAATGAAAGTCATCCAAATGTTTTTATCCAAAGTGAATATTAATTTGATATTTGTATCAAGTTTTCTTAAATTAGAATAGTCCTTTTTTAAATAGGAAAATAGAAATCTCAAAATCTTAACTCATGCAAAATTTGAAGTTAACCATAAATAAAAACTGATGGCATATATGTAATAGTTTTTTTTTTTTTTTTACTTTTCAGATATGATTCTAGGAAAAGCCTGTAATTTGTAATATTATTTTAATTTATTTTTTCATGAACTTTTTAAAAATCCCCTCAAGTTGTTCCCAGGATATGCTTCCTAAACATAGGCTGGTGAAATCTGTCAGGAAACAACTTCCCAGCCTACTACTTTGAGTGAAAATACAGGGCAGCTTACATCAGTGGCTTTCACCAGGGGACAGTTTGCCCCTCCAGGGGTGTTTGGTAATGGCTGAAGACTGAGAGTGAAGGAGTGCTCCTAGCATCTGGGGGGTAGAGGCCAGGGACACCGCCAAGCACCTTGGAATGTACAGAGCAGCCCCTGCCACAAAGAATTACCCAGCCCAAAATGTTAGTAGTGCTACTGCTAAGACACTGTGGCTTAAATTGAGGGAGACCCTCCTCCTGCAAATACTACTGCCATCAGATAAAGAATATTTTATCTTACTTTTTGTAAAAGAGAATATGTAGAAATTGGTCACTTAAAGAGATATACATAGATATATTGGCGATTTAAAACATGTTCATTTTAGATCATAGAAATCTAGCGACCTCAGTAAAAGGACTTAGTTGATCTTAGAAATTGGATAACATTCTCAAATAATTTTACATTTTTAAAAATAGGGAAACTCAAATGTAGGGTTACTGGTTTTCCTTATTTTACAGATGGGGTCGAGGATTTGGTCTTTTGGGTTCCATTTTTGGAAAAGATGGTGTATTAAACCAGCCAAACAGTGTCTTTGGACTTATATTTTATATACTACAGTTATTACTTGGTAAGTATTTATACAGCAATACAAAAACTAAGTTTGTTATATTCCATTTAGTGCTTTGTGTCTTTGCCCTAAAGTGTGTCTTTATATTAAATAAACACTTATGTTAATGATAGAACCACTAGTTTGTAGCACATGTGTGTGTTATGAAAACTTGATTCACTGAGATTTTTATGATGCTGATGTTGAACTTGGTATCAGTTGGTATCTAATTATCAATAGTAGGAGTATCTCATGATATACAGAAAAAACAGTCACTCAAGGAAATTATCACTTCTGTCTTCACTGTAAGCTCTTTCCTCATTATTTTATAGATTCCGAGGCTATTTAAAAGTATCATGTATTGAGAAAACATTAACAGTAAACTATATTCATAATTCCATCACTTTTATATATTCACTATTTCCATTGTCTTCTGCTTTTTTAAATTATTATTTTTATTTAATTAAAGGGCAGAGAGACAGACACACAGGACCTTACATAACCTGCTCACGCTCTAAATGCCAGCAACAGCCAGAACTGGGCCAGGTGAAAGCCAGGAGCCTAGAATTCCAGTTGGGTCTCCCATGAGGGTGGCGGAGACTCAGGTACCAGAGCCATCACCTGCTGCCTCCCAGGGTGCACATTAGTAGGAAGCTGGATCAAAAATGGAGGAACCAGGGTTCCCATCAGGCATTCTGATATTGGAAGCAGACATCCCAAGCAGTAACCTAACTGAGGCACCAAACACCCACCCCAAGTTTCACATTTTAAAAAAAGCCTTGATTTTTATTTGAGAGAGAGATCTTCCATCTACTCGTTTACTCTCCAAATGCTCACAGCAGCCAAGGCTGGATGGTGCCAAAGCCAGGAGCCTGGAATTCGCACTCGGATATGAGAATGGGCTTTCCAAGCAGTGACTTACCCGCGGCAAACACCCGCCCTTGGCTGCACGTTTCTTACATTCCAAGTAACACTGCAGTGATTGACTTTATGATCCACCCCCACATACACTTTCTTCTTTTAATTATTTCCACAAAATAAATTTCTAGTCATGGGTTTATGAGACAAAATTATATATATATATATATATATATATATAAAATATATGGGTTTTAATAGGTATTACCATATTATTTTCCCACCTGACCTCCCAGTTTTGTTTTTCCTAAAGTTTCATCAGTCCATTTTTAAAGTACTTTCCGTGAAATTTCTAATGCATACATATAGTAGCCATTCTTTTGATTTTACTATATTTTCATTTCCTTTTTATTGCCCTTATTTATTCTGATCTGGCTAGTGGCCCTTTTTCATATTTGTTAGAGATATTTCCCCCATTCTTTTTTTTTTTTAGTTTTGTGAATTTTTATAAGGTTTTATAATTTTCAGGTTAAATCTGTTTTTGCCTTTGCAATTCAATGTTCATTATTATATTCTATTATCAGTCAGCTCTTCTGTGATTTGAGTCATTAAAATACATATTTAACTTTTCTAGCTGAAGTTGATTTGTTACGAGGCAAATTTTGAATCTGATTTTTTTTTCTGGATGGTCCTATCAGATTTGCCCAATTCTCTGTCTACGTAGTCATCCTGCAGAGATGCGCACACAAGGGTATTCAGAGTAGCACTGTTTAAAATAGCAAGAAATTGGAAAGAGCCTAGCAGTGGGTAATGGCTGGGTAAATTAGGGTATATTAAAATTAGAGAATATTGTATAGCCATTAAAGGAAAGCATAGGTCTATGTGTATATCCTGAAAAGAGCAAGACATTGTTTATTGAAAAAAAAAGGAATAGGTAAATATATTTTTGTATATATGTGCATAAATGCATAAAAAAGGGACTTGGCTGGGAGCAGTGTCTTTTTTTTTTGTTCCATATATTTGTTTTCTTGTCTTTCTAAACAAGCCTATAAAGTATAAGCTCAAATGCAAGGCAGTAGTTCATTTTCCCTTAATAGAAAAGAGCCTTAAAAAACCTATGGCTGTATTAAGTTTTGGAGCTAGTAGGTGAAACATCATTTCTATTTATACTGTTAATTTGTTAATTTCATGATATACATATTTTGTATCGTATGTATTTCTTCCCGTCACATTTTCTGAAGTTTTGTTTTAGACCCTTCACATGCTTTTGTCAATGTCTTTGTTATTGGAGACACATTTTAACTCATCTAATACTGTGTTCCAAAGCACATTATCTTCACTCCCTTCTAAGCTGTTTGAGATAGCATTTTGAATTTAATTTTTCCATAGAAATGCATTCACCCAGTTCAAAAATTTAAGAAGGTGAACCACTATCCAGTAACAGGTCTGTCCGACTTCTGCCCCCTTTTCTTGGTATTCTTTGCCCTCCATCCCTGACTGGAAGCTTGTTGTTCTAATTTTCTTGTGCATGTACAAGAAAATACAAATATAAAGATCTTAATTTTCCTCCCTTTTTAAATATAAAAGGCAGATGCTACCCAAATATTCTACAGCTTGCATTTTTGGTCTTTTTTGTGCTTTACTAATCTGTCTTGGTGGTCTTCCCATATTAGTGCATTGAGTGTCTTCATTCTTTATTTACAGCTGAAAAATACACCATTGCATGAATGTACTGTCATTTATTTATGGTACATTTTAAATTCCACTGGGAAAATGTCTCCAAGCTACAGGTACCTAGTTATGAGAACATTTAACTAATAGCTGGCATTGATAGGGCGTTCCCCATGCTGTATGCTAGCTCATTTAATTGTGCTTTGTATTAGTTCATTTAATTCTCACAACAGTCTTCAGAGGAAGGCATGATTAGTATCCCAGTTTAAGAATTGAGGAAAGAGGCCGGCGCCGCGGCTCACTAGGCTAATCCTCCGCCTAGCGGCGCCGGCACACCGGGTTCTAGTCCCGGTCGGGGCACCGGATTCTGTCCCGGTTGCCCCTCTTCCAGGCCAGCCCTCTGCTGTGGCCAGGGAGTGCAGTGGAGGATGGCCCAGGTGCTTGGGCCCTGCACCCCATGGGAGACCAGGAGAAGCACCTGGCTCCTGGCTCCTGCCACTGGATCAGCGCGGTGCGCCGGCCGCGGCGGCCATTGGAGGGTGAACCAACGGCAAAAGGAGGACCTTTCTCTCTCTCTCTCTCTCTCTCACTGTCCACTCTGCGTGTCAAAAGGAGAGATAAAAATAAGAATTGAGGAAAGAAAGATGTGGAGAAAATAAGTAACTTTATCAGGTAAAATTAAGGTGACGGCATTATTTTTTGATGAAATTAGCAAACTTTTTCAGTAGGAGGCCAGAATAGTTCAGGCTGTGGTTACTGCCACAGCTACTTGACTCTGCCTTTCTGGTGTAAAAACAGCCACAGACCTTATATAAATGAGGATGGCTGGGTTTCAGCAAGCTTTATTGACAGAAGCAGGTGTCTGGCCAGATATGCCAGTCCCTGACAAAGTAATTGAACAGCACATTCGTCTTGAAGAACCTTATTAACACATTATCTAGTTGTGAATAGTCCTGTGGACAAGTCAAGTCTCTGTGGCTATGCCACGGCTCCAAGGCACCTTTCCCTTTCTTTTTGCCAACAAATCCCACAATTTTAGCTTCTTCACTGACTTCTTTAACCATGTTTAAGATTTATTTATTTATTTGAAAGGCAGAATTACAGGGAGGCAGAGAGAGATCTGCTGATTCACTCCCCAAATGGCCACAGTGGCTGGAGCTGGGCTGATCAGAAGCCAGGAGCTTCTTCCTTTTTTTTTTTTTTTTTTAAGATTTATTTATTTATTTGAAAGTCAGAATTACACATAGAGAGGAGAGGAAGAGAGAGAGAGAGAGAGGTCTTCCATCCGTTGGTTTACTCCCCAATTGGCCACAACGGCCGGACTGTGCCGATCCGAAGCCAGGAGCCAGGAGTCTCTTCTAGGTCTCCCACGTGGGTGCAGGGGCCCAAGGACTTGGGCCATCTTCTACTTCTACTGCCTTTCCAGGCCATAGCAGAGAGCTGGATTGGAAGAGGAGCAGCCCATATGGGATGCCAGCGCTTCAGGCTAAGGCGTTAACCCACTGCGCCACAGCACCGGCCCCAGGAGCTTCTTTCAAGTCTCCCACATGGGTGCAGAGCCCAAGGGCTTGGGCCATCTTCCACTGCTTTCCCAGGCCATAGCAGAGAGCTGGATGGGAAGAGGAGCAGCTGGGACTCAAACAGGTGCCCAAATGGGACGCCAGCACTACAGGAAGTGGCTTTACCCATTACGCCACAGCACCAACCCCCACCTATTCTTATTTTGTGCTGCTCTGCATTAGCCCACTGGGTGGGAGGGTAGTTTAGTATGTTCTGCCATCTTCTCTACCCTTGAAAAGAAACACACTGTTCACATGTCGTTGGACACAGGAAATCACAAGAGTGCACGTGAAGAGTCAAGAATTTGGGCACTTTTTGGGGGGGGGGTGGAAGCCCTGGCATAGCTCACATGACTGCCTTCTTTCTTGATCAGGGTTGACCCATAGGGGGCCACCTGGCCACAGATGGTTTCCTGTACTCTAGGGTGAGCCCCTTCTGAAAGGTTTATCAAGATTTTTATTCCTTCTAGAGTAGTACCAGTCTTCTTCCATGAAGCATTTTTGACCAATTTGATCTAAAGATGGAATAACACATTTTCTTTTCCACAGAGAGGGAGTCTGTATAAAAAGGCCAGGGTGGACTCTCCCTAGATGTGCACAGCTTGGAAGGAATGGTTTTGTCTCCATGCTCTTTATTCATTAGGAGAGTTGGGGCTGTTGATCTTCTCAATCAGCTTCATTGCTTAATGTGATTGTGAAACCGCATTTTTTTCTTGGTATGCAAATCCTTAGCTATGGCTGGTTTATGAAATAATATTTCATCTGAAATACGAACAAATCCAAACATTGCAGCCATTACACTGGTATCCTGTCTGCATAGTCAACCTGCATAATCTTCAAATAGTCCGGTAGTTTTTGTTCTCAACTTTCAGAGTTTTGCAGTCAGACAAGGATTCACACACCACAGCTGGCCATGAAATGTTATCTTTTAACTCAGCCGCTGTCTCAGCATCAAGGCCTGATTGAGCCAGGTGTCTCTGTCTTGCAGGCCTCACAGCAAGCGCCGTGGCGGCTCTGATCCTCATGACGTCCTCCATCATGTCTGCCGTAGGGTCCTTGTACCTGGCCTACATTCTGTACTTCGTGCTGAAGGAGTTCTGCATCATCTGCGTCACCACGTACGCGCTGAACTTCATTCTTCTTATCATCAACTACAAACGACTGGTTTACTTGAATGAGGCCTGGAAGCGGCAGCTGCAGCCCAAGCAGGACTGACACCTGATGAACTCCTGACGGACAGTCTGAAGTCCCTTTTTCCATTAAGTTTATTTGGCAGCATTTTTTTTTTTTAATTCTTCACAACAGACACTTCCCTGAGAATCTTAAACTGATTTTTTAAAATCCTGTACATTAGAAGGGGCCCTAGCTATTTTCTGTGTCGATCTTCATTTTAAATGTGGATACAAAAAAAAAAAAAAAAAAAGGATCACCAAGCCAATCAAAGACAAGCTTTAACTTTACTTTGAAGATGTTTCTCAAATAATAAAATGTAGCCCTAGCCCCATTCCCTCCACTGTAAAGTGAGAAACCATTGCTAGTAATTCTCTAATGTGTATAAATTCAATTTCAGGTATAACAAATGTGATCATGACATGAAACTATTTTAGAATAGATGCTGTATTAAATATTGCCATGTTTACAATATGTAATATGTTTTTAGCTGACGGATTTAAACATGTAGATTCAACTAGAATCCATTTTTGTGATATTTGTAAATAAAGGTAGAAACATTGGATCCATCCCTGCAGAACTTACTGTACGGTTTAGTTGAAGTGTAGCAATGAAGAATGCAGCTCAATGTTGACTGATGAAATAGTGAAAGTAGGAAGTCCCTACCGAGCATCTCGTGAAAAACACTGACAGCCATGGGTGCAACACTGACAGCAAAAATATTAGGGTGGTTGGTTCCCTTTCATCTCCATCCTCTGAAAGGAAGAAAATGAATTTGTACATTCAAGTCAATTCTGTGTTTAGGCGTAAAACTGGATGAATTATAACCTTACAGAAGGAGCTGTGTGACCAGACCTTCAAGTCCAAGGCCTTCGGAACACTAATGATTTGGGAAATGGGTATATTTCTTTGGAGAAAAACTGGAAATATTAATATGGCATTTTCAGGTAAAGCCTCTTGACAGTAGTTGAATTTTCACAGATGATTTTACTTAATATTGGTGCCAGTCAACTAAACAGTATTAGAACTTGGAAATAACCAGTGTAAGCCCCAGTGCTCAAGGAGAATTGCCCTTCGGTCTTTCCACGGTGTTCTCATTGTTTCTTTCTGCACTAATTGGATATCTGGTTTAATTGTTTCAGAGTCGGACATTGGATCTGTGAACTTTAGGGCTGACACACTGCTCAGTTTACTTAATTGGGAGAAGTACTATAGGTAGAAATATCTAGGAGCAAAATACAGTAATGTCATCACTGCTCTATTAACTACACAAATGCAGTAAGCAGAATTTCTTAAAGTGATTTGAATAAACCTGAGTGAAATAGTGACAGTATGTTTCTATGGTTAACATCTTCTGCCAGAGTGTTAAAAGTGCCTTCTGTCTTAAAATCTCAAACCAAATATTTTGTGTGTGAATCTGGGCAGAAGTGTCCCCCCCTCCTTTCTGTCAAGTGGAAAACTTGTGTTCTGCAAAAAGGTTCTGAATGATCATTTTATTCTTTAGATTGAGAAGCAGTAGCAGTGTTTTTGCTTCCAATTCAACTAATTGTTCTGTTAAAAATAGGCAATTAGATTGGTGAGTTTTGAGTGTTCTACTTGCCTTCTTAGCGAAGGGAGGGGGCGGGCCCGCTCTGAAAAGTAAAGTGTGTACAGAGTCAGCAGCTATCTAGCAGTTTACAGCTGTTCACTGATGCAGTGTAGTCCTTCTGGCCCAAGGCAGGTATCAAATCTGAATTGTAATGAACTTTTAACCGGTCTTAACCAGTTCGTTAAAAGATAGCTTAACTCAGATTTCATCGAGGCTTATGTTTTCCCATGAATGTGAATATCTCAATGCCTGTTTTATTATGTACGTGTTGTTCTTGTATTGTCAAGTGGTTACAGAATTCTAGGAAGCACTGACTGAATGCCGGTTCCTGTGGAGAAGTCAGTCCTCTGATCTGAGAACTGTGCAGTGAGGTCATCTGTGCCAGTGTGTGTGGTTCTCCCAAGGCAGTTCACAAACTAGAGTGGAAATGGCTTCACCGTGAAGACTTCTGTGGTATTTATAACACCGCTAGTGCTAAACAAGTTCCTCGTGTCCCAGTCTCAAAAGGTTTTTGTCACATTTTGTATCAGTCAGCAGAGTATAGTTAAAGCTTGTCTTGAGGTTACAGTCTTGAAAATGTCTTCAACTCTCAAATGAGAAAACAAGGAAAGTCATTCAGCCAGACCCTTCAAGTTTTTCCTTTACTTTTATAAGCCTTGGGGAAACCACTGTTTCAGTTGTATAAAAATAAATAAATTTTTTTAAAAAGCCACATTCCTATGACGCAGTAAAATCAACGCCCCTTTTCTCGCTGCGAGATGAACATGTGCTGCCTGCAATGGCAGGAGTGTGATGCCGGTGTCTCAGTAAGTGACATATGCCCTGGAAAACTATAGGCCCTCTCCCCCCCACCACTACATTCTTCTCCACCCACAAGGGGGAGGAAATGCCATGTGATAAAGTTTGAAGATTGCTATAATTCCAGACTGAATACGTATAAACTGTGGCATTGCTGGCCACCAGGGCTGACGGCCAGGCTAGGGAAAGAATCGCTTACAGCAGGAATTCCCACTTCATGTGTTTGGAGTGGTTTATTACAGAGGAAGCCTCTATTAACAGTTATAAATATTTGAAGGGGGAAAGTATGGTTAAAGGATAAATCCTAGGGAATCTGGGTGGTTTGGAGGATTTCATTTGGTTTTTCATTGCAGCTAGCTGCTGTCAGTGAGGGTAAAACTTCTGGTGAAATAACTCAGGTTTAATTAGCTGTGTGCCAGGAATTACTTCATGTATGTATCCCCTCCTTAAATTCATTACTTTTCAAGAATGTTGAAAGTACTGACTATTTTCATACAGAAGCAAAGATGATTTGTCATGTGGTACAAGGGGTCTTTGGACCTACTTGATAAGATCCAGGACCAGGCTACAATAAAATTAAAAATTCTTTGTTGGCTTTTGTTCTTCATTTATGCCTTTTCAAAGACTGCCAAAGTGCAGAGCTGTCTTAGGCAATTACTTCATAACTTAGATCAGCAACACTGCTTGACAACCAGTGAGTACCAGGAAATCTTGTCTAGACAAATGCCAACAAAGAAACCCACTCTCATTTTCAGTAGCCTCTGGGGAGATGGACCCGACAGGCCGCCTCTGTCCTCACGAGTTGTCCTGCAGCACACAGCACGTCTTGCAGAGAGACTTTAGGCAGCAGTTATGATTCCTAGTTTGTGAGAACTACCCTTCAGCGAAACAAAAGGGGCGGGGGTGGGAGTCCAGGCTACATGGTTAAACATTTTTTTCAACAAATTAGCCCATAAAAGGTGAAATGTTTTGTTATAAAACTGTATTAAGCATGGCCTAATTATTAGGTGTATGATCTGTATAGTATGTTCCATCAGAAATATTTATTACTAGTGCTTTGAGCGCCTGAGTAAACATTCATTTGAAATGGAGTTCACTGGGCAGATTCCCCTTTAACGGAGATAGAAATGTTCTTTATCAGAGGTTTAGGGCACCATTTTGCTAACTGGTAAATAAAAACAAATGTAAATATGTAAGAATGTTTATTTGTTGCACATAACTTTTTTGGTATAAAATAAATGTAGAAGTTACCTGTGGAAGTTGTGCTGCCATTGTTCTTACACTGTAGTACTGCACTTCAAAAAGGAAGCTAAAATGAAGCCTCATAAAGCCTTATAAAGTATTCTGGAAGTTGCGACTGTGACCTTGTTTCTACAGAGCCACTGACTTTCCTCTTAGATGTCCGTGTAAGGAAGGCACAGAGTCCTTGAGAGATTCTAGCTCTTAGAGGTCCTGTGGCTTACCATCTGTGTGGTTGTCAACAACGGATGTTACAAAAGGTGTTATGGCTGACAGTTCTGTAAACATAGGAAACATACCAGTCAGATGTTCTCCACAGCTTTACTTTAGCTTACCTTGAAAATTCTAAGATGCCATCTGGGGCCGGTGCTGATTAAGCCACCATCTATGATGCCAGCCTCCCATGTGGGTGCCGGTTCAAGTCCCAGCTGCTCCACCTCCAGTCCAGCTCTCTGCTAATGTGCCTGGGAAAGCAGCGGAAGATGGCTCAAGTGTTTGGGCCCCTGCACCCATGTGGGAGACCGGGAAGAAGCTCCTGGCTTCAGCCTGACTCAACGCTGGTTGTTGCGGCCATCTGGGGAATGAACCAGATAATGGAAGCTCGCTCTCTGTCCCTCTCTGTGTCTGACTTTGAAGTAAATAAATCTTTAAAAAGAAGAAAAAGATGGCATATGCTAGAGACGAGTCCATTTGAAGTATGTTGCAGCCATCCTTCACTGACTAGAACTAATGTGTTCTATGCTAGAACCTTATGACCTCCGAAACAGACCTTGCCCCTATCTGTAGAACATTCAGGAGTGTCTGCTTAATGTTTTTTAATGTTTGTCAATGAGAGACATTATTCATTGACATTCCACTGGAATATGAAGAGCTTGAGTTCGGGGGTGATGAGAAATGGAACCTCTAGAATTCCTAATGTACTATTTGTCTTTTTAAAAACATTAATTTTCTACTTTACTTGAGAGGCAAAGAGATACAAAAATAAATAGATCTCCCATCTGCTGGTTTATAACCAGGGCCTGGCCAGCCTGGAAGCTTGGAACCCAATCTAGGTCTCCTGTGTAGGTGACAAGGATACAAGCAGTTGAGCCACCACCTGTTGCCTCCTAGGGTGCACGTCAGCAGGAAGCTGGATTCAAAGTAGAGTCAAGGCTTGAACCATCCACTCTGATATGGGATACGGATGTCCCAAGTGGCATCCTAACTGCTTAACCTACTCCCTAACTTAGCTATCTCAACTGACTACACTCATTTTTTAAAAACAGACCTGGAGATGCCGAAGATTCAGCTAAATTTTCCTTCCATGGAACTTCCTGTCCCTTGCAAGGGACAGCCATAAAGGGTTGCACACTGAGACATGAGAATCAAGCAGAATTGAAGCAATTCGCGTTCTGTATCAAGAACTGTTATTGGCTGCTTGTCCTCCATTTGATTGCTCTCCAAAAGAGTACTTGCCCGAGCATGGAGCTTTAAAACAGGATCATGGAATGTGCAAACGTTAGAATTATGCACCTTACTTGCCTGTATGGAGAGTGGGAGAAAAGACTCCTTGGGGGGGGCTGTGCTCTGGGAGAGGGCCCAGAGGATCTCCTGAGGTACCAAAGCGTGGGGCAGTCACCAGTGGGCCCAGCCTGGTTAAAGAGGCCTTGCCACAGTCAGCATGACAGCCGGTGGGCTGTCCATCTGTCGGGACTAGACTCTGGCTGCGGGAGGAGCGGTGTCCTAGGAGGGCTGGTTACCTCTGACACTCATCAGCACGAAAGCCTCATTATGTGTATCGACCAGCTTAACAGGAAACTGGCACATAGACCTGGCTAATTACTGCACTGCCAGGGCAGTTCTATAAATCACTTAGGCCACGCGGGACATCAGCCCATGTGCAGGGCTCACCCGCGGCTATGAAAGCCTTTGGCGCTCTCACTGGGTCAGGGCTGGCCTAGTTGCAGGCGCCGTGGAAATGGCGTGGGTGAGTGAGGCAGCGGTTGGACGAGGGCTGAAACGTGTTACGGCTATGAAGACGGCCTGACCTCGATCGGAGATGCCTGTCGGCAGCACAGAGCAATCACTTGGCGCTGAACTCTTTATTCTCATACGAGAAAAGCTTTTATTTTTCCCCTTGGAGGTGCTCTTCCAGCAGAGTGCCGGAAGCCTTCTGGCAGTGCCCTGAACAGTCCCGGGAGGCACTTGTTCCGTGGAGGTGGCTGCTGAGAGGCGGCCCCAAAGGTAGTTCTGGCTTTAAAAGGTAAAAGGGCTGTTGCCCTGGCACTGCGACCTCACTGTGGACCGGTGGTACCTGGTTTCATTGGCGAGCCTCCAGTAGCGATCTCGCAGGAGGAAAGCTGCACTTTTTGGCTGTCTCTGACGAGTGAAGATCCCCTTCTTATTCCCAACTGGTCTCTGCGGGGCTAAAAAAATAATAAAAATTTAAAAAACAACAATAAAGGCAAACAAAGCATTTCAGATGACTTCTGCCCCCGGAATTGGAGACTAAACTGGAGGCAAACTGGAGCCCAGCTGGGTACTCAATAGAAATGGCCATTGCTAGGGTCGCTGCTGTGGCATAGTGGTTAGAGCTGCCACCTACAGTGCCGGCATCCCATGTGGGCACTGGTTCGAGTCCCTGCTGCTCCACTTCCCATCCAGCTCTGTGCTATGGTCTGGGAAAGCATTAGAAGATGGCCCGTGTCCTTGGAAGAAACTCCTGGCTCCTGGCTTCACATCGGCACAGCTCCGACCATTGCAGCCAGCTGGGTAGTGAACCAGCGGATGGAAGACCCCTCTGTCTCTGCCTCTCCTTCTCTCTGTGTGTAACTCTGCCTTTCAAATAATAAATAAATAAATATTAGAAAGAAATGGCGGCCGGCGCTGCGGCTCACTAGGCTAATCCTCCGCCTTGCAGCGCCGGCACACCGGGTTCTAGTCCCGGTCAGGGCGCCAGATTCTGTCCCGGTTGCCCCTCTTCTAGGCCAGCTCTCTGCTGTGGCCCGGGAGTGCAGTGGAGGATGGCCCAAGTGCTTGGGCCCTGCACCCCATGGGAGACCAGGATAAGCACCTGGCTCCTGCCATCGGACCAGTGCGGTGCGCCGGCCGCGGCGGCCACTGGAGGGTGAACCAATGGCAAAAAGGAAGACCTTTGTCTCTCTCTCACTGTCCACTCTGCCTGTCAAAAAAGAGAAAAAGCAAAAAAAAGAAAAAGAAATGGCCATTGCTGGACCTAAAGTAACAACTTGGAGGTTAAAGCATTACATGCCACTGCTCCCCCAAAACACCTCAGCCCCTGCTGTGTGAATTTCCAGCCCATTAGGGGAAGAAATTCAAAATCATTTATATCTGTGGTTTTTTTCATTTGAGAGACAGCACTCTTCACCTGCTGGCTCATTCTCCAAAGACCCATAATGGCTGGGGGTGGGCCAGGCCAAAACCAGGAGGAGCCCCAAACTCAATCCGGGTCTCCGACATGGATAGCAGTGAACCAAGTACTTGAGCCATGGCCTGTGGCCTCCTGAGGTGCACATGAACAGGAAGCTGGAACTGGGGGTGCAGCCAGCACTGGAACGCAGGCACTACATGGGATGTGGGCATCTCAGCTGTGCGGCACCAAATGCCTACCCCCCCCCCAAAAAAAACTGATCTTTTATTTACAAAATAACATTTTGAGTACCCAGGTGCTTGGAATTTGGGGCAAAGGGGAACTGAGACAGAGTTATTCCGGAAAAGGCTGGCCCTTCCTGAAGAGCAGGTGCAAAAACCTTGGCCTATGGGTGATACAGGTTTCAGGGTCTGCCCAGGCCAACTTCCGGCCTGGATACTCCTGCTGGGGGTCAGTTTCCCAGAGCTGGAATTGGGAGGGGAATAAAGCCAACAGCAGCTTGTAAGGGCCACACCTTCAGCTTGCTTTCCTTCCACCCCTACCCACAGAGAGACCACAGCTAAATGGAAAAGAATTTTCCTGCCCAGAAGCTCAGGACAGGGGCCAGTGTTGTGGCAGTGGGTTAAGCCATCACTTGCAATACTGGCGACCCAAATTGGCACAAGTGCTCCTCTTCCAATCCAGATCCCTGCAAATGCACTTGGGAAGGCATCAGAAGATGGCCAAAGTACCTGTGCCCCTGCCACCCATGTGGGAGACCTGAATGGAGTTCCTGGCTCCTGGCATCAGCCTGGCTCAGAAATGGCTATTGATGGCCATCTGGGGAGTAAACCACCAGATGCAAGATTTCTCTCTTTCTCTTCCTTTTAATCTCTGTGTTTCTCTGTGTCACTCTGCCTTTCAAATAAATAAAATTTTTTTTTGATATATTTGTTATTTGAAAGAGTTACACAGAGAGAGAGAGAGAGGTCTTCCATCTGTTAGTTCACTCCCCAATTGGCTGCAATGGCCGGAACTGCACCAATCCGAAGCCAGGAGCCAGGAGCCTCCTCCAGGTCTCCCACGTGGGTGCAGGAGCCCAAGGACTTGGGCCATCTTCTACTGCTTTCTCAGCTCAGAGCAGGGAGCTGGATAGGAAGTGGAGCAGCCGGGTCTCGAACCAGCACCCATATGGGATGCCGGTCCTGCAGGCGGTGGCTTTACCTGCTATGCCACAGCGCCAGCCCCAATAAATCTTTTAAAAAAAAGTTCAAGACTAATTTCTTCTACAACAGGCAAATACCAGGCACTGTCAAGCACGTGGCCAAATGAAATCGGACATCAACCTACAAGGAATTGGGGAATGCATTTGCCACAGCAGCTGGGATTCTATTTTAGGATGCACACATTCCATACTGGAATGCCCGATTTTTTTTTTTTTTTAAGATTTATTTATTTATTTGAAAGTCAGTTACAGAGAGAAAGAAGAGTTCTTCCATCCTCTGGTTCACTCCCCAAAAATGGCCACAATGGCCTGGTCAAAGCTAGGAGCCAGGATCTTCTTCTGGGTCTCCCAGGTGGGTGGCAGGGGCCCAAGCACTTGAGTCATTTTCCACTGCTTTCCCAGGCTGTTAGCAGGGAGCTGGATTGTTAAGTGGAGCAGCTGGGACA